GATATTTGTAAAAACATAGGAGGCTTAGAATGCTCCGGGGCTTGCCTTTTAGGAAAGAGGTAGGCCTGTGATCAGGGCACTCTGGTAGTTCTTTTGGAGCCTGCTCCTCACTTTCAGGGGCTACCTGTTGTGGTGCCTCCTGATTCTCCTCCTCTTCGGCCTCGAACTCTAAGAGGGTGATTCCTTCGGGCGATCCTATATGGATGAGCACGAAATAAGATATCATGGATGCATAGGTAATAACATGAATGATATGATATGATGAAATGCATAATCATAAATGTCTTTAACAGCAAGGCATTAGGGTTATAATAAGATTAACTTTCTTTTACTGGGTAGGTGCATATCTCTTCTCTAATAATTAAATAAACTTCCATTAAAGCATTTTTTGGACTTCAAGACAATAGTCACTTGTTTTGACCATAACTGGAGTTTTACCCAACTAAACAATATTACTGTGGACTTTCTAGAAATCTTATGAAATGGTCTACAACTTTCTTATAATCATCTTAAGGTGATTCAATAGTTAGCCAGGTCAAACAATTCAATCTTTCAGATCTGTCCAGAGAATAAGCAAATCTGATAGCAGACTTCTAGAAGCTATAACTCTCAAACCATTAGTCCTATGACCATGAAATTTTAGAACAAGCCATATATGAGTAAGTTATCCACAACTTTGTTATTGACAAGTTTCACAGAAAAGATCATTCTCATCATGAGATTGTCACCACAACAGAAACTACACTTGTAGCCATCCAGTTATATTATAAAGCAATAATTAACTAGCTGCCTATACCCAATTAATTTTGAGCACAACTACTCATATCAACAGGTCATATGCATCACAAGCACCACAGAAAATATCATGGTTAAACCCAAATATTTTACTTATATGCATTTACTAATTTCTTTATATAATAGGGTGATTTAAAGGAAAAATATTTCTAGTGCACAATAAATCCTAAGAACATTACAGTAGCCTACATATAACTCTAATAGTCTACTGTATAAATTTCATGCCATTTGGATAATTATAACAACCTCTATAAAAATGACAAGTTGCATAGGCTTATAATAGCAAAAATAGTTTAGCATAGTGAAAAGGGCCAAACATCAGATTTCCTAGTTTTCTTACTTTCACTCTAGCACAAGAACACTGTGTAAAAATTTGCATGATCATAAGTTATATATATTTACCCCAATTAATTTCACTAGAAACTAGCATTTAATCAGAGTTAAATACTGTAGGTGTAGTATTTTTTCTAGCTAGAGCATATCAACACAAGACCAATAAAATTGGAATCACATTTTTAGCACTTCCCTACCTCAAGTTATGTATTTTACCAGATAGAAACTATTTTAAAAGCACTTAACTAGCTTAATTTAATTCCCCAGAAAATTACCCCAAACAGTAGGTTTCATGTTTTTATCAAATAGTAAACTTCATTATGAATCCAACAAAATTTGGATCACCCCATTTGGATACTCCTAGCTCAAGATATGATTTTTGCAAGTTTGCTACAAAATCTGGGAAAAATCAAATAAAGAAAAATCAAATTTCCACTCGGTCCATGGCTACATGCACCCGGTCTATGCACTCAGAGGCGCTGACAGCGGGACCCGTGGGTCAACTGACCCCACCCGTTAGTCAAACGAAGTAGGGCACGATGGTTGACCGTGGAGAGCTTCGCCAACGGCGAGGTCACTGGTGATGAGGTCACCACCATCATGTTCCCCACCCTCTCGCGCATCTAATGGTACCCTTGGTTGGCTCGACGGATCACTAGAGCTACCTCGCCGGCGGCCATGGCGGCTCGACGGAGGTGCTCGGCGATGGATTCGCCATCTCCGGCGATGACATGGCCAGGCGAGCATGGCTACAGTGTTAGGGGGTCCTAGCGGAGCTCTAGGGTGTGGGTTAGGGTTAGTAGCGGCATGGGAGGGGCACGGCCGCGTGCATGGTGGCACGGCGGCGCGAGCGCGGCGATGGTGAGGTCACCATTCCGACGAGACGGCTACCAGTGGTGAGTCTCCGTCTTCGGGGAGGGTGCTATGGGTCATGGCGGAGCATAAACAAACACAGGAGAGGGAAGACATGGTCTAGTTAGGGCTAGCCACAGCGAGCTCGAGCTCACGGCCATGGCGAGCGCGCATGGTGCGGTTGCGCGTTCCCATGCCGACACTGCGGTAGCAATTAAACGGGCTACGGCCTTAGCATATAGACCCTATGGTGACGACCAACCAAGGGAGAAGAAAGTAGTAGGAGCAGCGGTGGTGGCTGGCCATGGGTGAGCCCAAAGCTCGGCGGCACATTGTGGCCATGGCGGTGGCAATGGCTCGAGGGCCCTCACCTTGGCTCAAGAGGCGACAATAGCGGGTCGAGGAGGTAGAGGAGGTGGTGGCGAAGCTATGGGCGGGATGGATAGGGTGGTGGCGCTGTGAGGACGTCATGCGAGCTTGGCGGAGGTGCGGCGATGACAACGGTGGCGCGGCTCGGCTCTGGCGTGCACGAGCGAGAGACGAGAGGGGTAGCGAGTGAGCGCACATGAGTGGGCGGCGTGGGACGCTGCATGACGCGCTTCTTCGCGCGGCGGCCGACCATGACGACGCTGCCCAGCCCGACGTCTGGGCGCCACGCGTGTGCCACGGCTGTGGTCGGTCGGTCGGCCACGACGGCGAGCTGCTCGACCAGTTTCAGGCCTGCATCATGTGACTGACAGCGCGATTTCAAGCAATTTGTACTCCTAATCCGTGGCGAGTTAGTGAAAATTTCATTATTAAGAGTTGTAGAGCTACATGTGATCTACAAATTTGCTTTAAGTTTGGTCTAATTCGTCATGGTTTTCAAGTTGCAATGCTCCAAAGTAGGTCACTTAAAACTGTAAACAGCTTTTTGACAGCAAATTCCTAAGTCCTGAAAACAACATACTATGGCTTCTTGTCGGCCCTATTTGGCCATGTTAGGCACTGAATTAGCTCATGACCCTTAAATAAAGTTTGTTACCCATATTAAGAACTACAACTTTCATTAAGGGTGCACTGCCATACAAACACTCTATGTTATAGTTCAACTCTAGTCAAAGTAGTATCATGAAAAATAAAGTTTTGAGTAAACTAGGACTTAGAAGCAAATTTGGCCCATGTCACGAATACAAACATTGTTCCATTTTCCATCCTAGATGTGTCTAAGGTGTTTTGGTGACCTCACAACCATCTCTTGCATTGGTCATACATGATCACAAGCATATGCATGTATATAATCAACATCACATGTGATAAAGATAAGGTGGATGAAATGAGAAACTTCATATGCTCATGCTCATGAGTGCTTGGATGATGCTTGTGCTCATGAAATGCAAGTGTCAAATACAACGCATAACACTAGGGTGTTAGAGGCCCCAGATCCCCCATGGCGGCGCACTCCCCGACGCCGACGGCTCCTCGACGCAATGGGCCTCGCTTGGACGCGGGTGGTGCCACCTTGTCCGCCATCGGGAGGTTCCCGGCGGCTCCCCTCCCCTAGAGCGATGCAGCTCCCCTCCCCACGCGATGTGGCAGAGGGCCAGTGAGGTTCCCCACCACCCGCCGAGAGGTTCTTGTCCGCTGCGCGATGTGGATCCACTTCCCTGCTCGATGTGACCGAGGAGAAGCGAGGACGAACGAGTTCGTCAATGGCCATGAGATATGGAAGAGGATGAAATGTGGGTCCCACATGTCATTCTCTACAAGGATGTATTTGGGAGGTCTGCTTTAGGTAGCATTGCTGAAATGAATATAGAATGTATGCTCGTGCTGTTGTGGCTGCAGTGATATGTTGTTTATCAATTACGACACCCTTGCAGGAAGGCACATCCAGCTTGTGCGTCTTGCAGGACAGAACAAGACATATTATGTACCTTAAGTTCATAGTTGTCTGTATCAAGTGCAGCGTTGAAGCTTCAGCAACAGCAATATATCCACAACTTCACATTCTAGACATAAAACAACTGTGCCATCACATATTTGGCGTCTGCTACATCAGTGATTGAGCATCATCATTCATATACAGGACTAAAATTTCAATTTAGTCATCATCATACAATAAACATCCTTACTGCATCTAAATAGCAGAGTGGGTCAACCAGGGCAAAGTAGGCCTCATGCAACTTCCGGATATCCAAATGACTTGTAGAATGGATTTGAGCACCTACTAACCTGAACCATATAGAATATAGATCATGACATGTCAAAATGTAAATGACACACCGTGGTGTCAAACTACTATTTGAAATATATATAACCAACCACCTAATTCTCACCGGTTATATCTCCTCATTGAGCACATTACCTCAGGAAAAAAATACAAACATGAAAGCAATGCAAGTATCCAAGAATTCCATCACGTAAACAAAAGATATATTTCACCTCTATTTACAGAAACTAAAACAAATTAACACCTATTATGCCCCCCGCTGCAACTTTGTTGCATCAAAATGAGAACATGTGTTTCTTTGATCTATTACATCAACGCAGAACAAAAAGGGCACAAAACACATCAAAGAGGGAGGGGGATAACTGAACCATATTTCATTATATTGCAATGTAAAACATAATACATGTATTGAGATTGAACTATAGATCATTGTTTAGATGAACTTTTCTAAATGACCGCAACTTTTCTATTGGATCACAAAACTGAACCGACAAAACTTCCTCGATTAATCCTCTTGGCAGTTCACAAGCCACCATGTATTTGTTTTGCTGTGATGGTGTCAGAAGGATATTCAGTGTAGCTGTTAACAATTCCCAGCGTCGCCTCTGGAGTCCTGGCATTACCTTTGTGGCACGGAATTCAAAACTGCGATCCAGGTCAGGTTTTCCTCTCAATTCCTTTTTGTTATGGAAAAAAGAATTTCAATTCCGATGGAGTTCCTCCATTTGTAACTATATGGAAGCTGAAATTCACTGGGAACAGTTATGCCAAAATGGACAAGGCTGTTCGCATCATCTACTTCCTTCAGCTACAGCAAAGGTCCATGCCCAGTAGGAAAATGACTAGGATGAACACCACGTTTTGGCCTTTCATTACCATACCGTCTCATTTCAACTGGACCCCAACCAAGAATACCCGCAGAACTACTAGATTCCTGCAACCTATTACCATTTGTCATAATTGGAGGTTGATACAAAGGCTGGGTGTCAAACTGATTATCAGGGTCAGCTCTCCGTCGACGCTTCCAGGCTTCAGAACTTCCAGAGCTCTCATTATTATGGAAAGACTCAGAATTGTACTGGAGAGACCTAGTTGGCCTTTGGTTTCTCGAAGGATGAAGTTGATTTGAGTTACCTCCCTTATTGGGAGGAACGGATGTGAAATTGCCACCATGAGATGGGCCAACTCCACCTTCCAGTTGGTCTTGACTAAGTTTCAAATAGAGATCATGCAGTTGCTCCCCAGACATATTTGAAAAGGTGGCAACATAATTCCATAACCTCATGGTCATGCCTGCAATCAATACAATAATTTAGACAGGATCTATCAAGGGATCCAACTATATGCCATTCAAAATTGTCTGCACAATGTTAAGACAGAGAGTCTTGTCTGGAGACTGATAATGGAGAAGGGAACATATTCACTTACGGGATTGCCTATAAGATTCGCTGTGTTGCCGGACAACTTCTCCAATTTTGTCCCCAATTATCAAGAGATACTTGCGAATTCTTGAAAGAACCTAAAGACAGTAAATTAAGGTAAGATTCGGGTCGCAAAGCAGTTTGAGAATATATTGTCCACAGAAAAAGCAGATACCTTTTCCTTTGGGAGGTTTACACTTGTATTCTGCAGCCTATCCAGGCGCTTCAAAGTATCCTGCTCCTCATCTAAAACTTCAGAGCACCATTCAAGCCACTTCTCCTCTTTGTCCAGACGATACTTTGTCTCTGCCTCCGATTCAGAAATTTCACCTTCTTCTCTTGCTTCAGCTTCCACTATTACCTTGCGCTTCTGAATGTCATCTTTGTTCGGCTTATTATCCTCTTTTTCTGGTACATCCTTTTGTCGGCCCCTCATTGATCGAGCTCCACTATTACTGTCGTTATTGACTGCCTGGCGGGCATTTCCTTTGACTTTTGAGCTCTTACCACTAAACTTAGCATATTCCTTGATAAATACAACTCTTGTCAGCATAATAGAATGCAAAAAAAAATTGTAAAGCAAGTAGAATATGCAATTGTTGTAGTAAACAAAGGCATAAAAAATTCAAGGTGAAACATTCATTTATACTCTTTCAAAATAAATTCAAACATATCAAAGCAACTAAAACATGGGAAGCAAACAAATAAACAAATTGTTGTTCTTGATTATCAAATTGGCTACAGCATTACAAATGCATCATTATAAAATAGTTGGATTAGAAAAAAAAAAGGATAATTCGTTTAAACAAGCCCTTAAAATTACAATCTCAAGGTAAAACCTAAACGCCACTCTACTTGAGGATTGCAATTCAATAACAGTTCAAAACCTGAACTCACTGAATGATCAGAACATGATAGAAGGGTTCAACAATTAGTACTCCATAAATTAGATAATCACACACTTGAAACCAAGAAAAGAACAATGTCCAGAAAGTTAACTGCTCCCATGTACATTTAAAAATAAACCGGAGGTTCACCTCCAGTTCAAAAGAGTTACCTTTTGCAGGAGAGCACTAGCGCGGTTATCCAAGTTTGGAGCACGTGGTAAAAATGTCTCTCTCTCACCAAGTGTTGCTGGTGCAATTTTTGTTGCCAGGCCAAGCTTTGGATCCAACCGTATTTTCTCCCAATTCCCGTAGCCATACCAATGAATTCCAACCATCAATCTAGCATCATCAGCTACGACCATACAAGAAACAAACTATAAGATCCCAATGTTTTATAGAATGTCTAAACAACTAGGGTTGAAATGCAATTACTTTCAGTCCATCCACAGCTTGCAGACCACTGAGGCTTTTTATAAGGTAGCTGGATGCGGTATTGCTTGATTGGATCTTTGTAACGTGCAATTCGCTTTGCCAAGAATTGAAGCTCTTCAACACGAGCTAGCAATTCGTAGGCCTTCACAGCTACACCGAAAAAGTCCAAAACTGTGCCCTATATTTGAAGTGCACAAGTGAACTTAACAAAGGTGATGTCACGAAATACTCTTTACAGTTAATGAAAAGGAGAGAGTTATTACCTTGATATCTGTATTCTCTTTAACCGCTTCCTGACAACCATCAATCAGCAAATCAAATAGCTCTATTTGCGCTTCATGTGGTGCCTTCGCAAGTACACCACCAACATCATCCACGATTAATCCAATCTGGGTTGCATTCCCAAATTTTTTGACCTAAAAATTTTCACATATCAGGGTGAGAGTACATCAACACACATATTGCTTCACAAACAATGCTAGATGAAGTGCAACCAAATCAGACTAACTGATCCCATAGAAAAACTTTCCATGAAAAAACTTGCAAAATCGACTGGCAATTACATGCCAATAGAATTGGACTAATATAGTTACTTGTTCTATAACCATCATAGTGCAAAGTATTACAATATCCCATCAAGGCATCAACTCAAAGCAAAGAAGATGATGCAATGATATATTGGTAGCATGCTTCCAGGCACTTGTATATACAATTAAAAATCCATTATGAAGTACACGATTCCACTGAAAAGACAGAAAAACGATAAGCGTGCATATTACCGCTCGTACAAAACGAGAAGCGTCCTTCTTTGGAACATTACCAAAAGACCACTCTCGTACTTGAGCTACTGCTCCGTCAACCAATGGTAATGAATTAACTGTTTCCACAGTTCTGCCAGAACGCCTCCTTGGCTTTTCTTGTGCTTCAACTGCCCGTCTTTTCCTGTTGTTATTATTTTCGTCGAGCTGGGGATCTTCAACATAGCTCTTTTTATTTCGTGCAGCACGAGGTGCCAAAGTTTCCTGAAGAATACCAGTCATCACTATCTGATAATGTTTACAGAAAGAAATGACAAAAGCAGGTTATAGTAACTGGGCAAACTAGCTAGCCAATCAATACCTGAATCATATCTGCAGGATCTGGCTGTATCAGCCTACTCCAGAATGTTGCATCATCTTCGCCACTGGAAAAGTTTGCGACCTACGCAAAAATATGAAGAATAATAAATGTGAATACAGAATAGTTCCTGCTCAGCATCAGTAACTTGGGTATAGCATACACATCACATGCCTTGAAAGCACTAAGAAGCTCATTTCCTTCCTCCCCTTCACCACCCTTTGTCTCGACTTTCTCAGCTCTCTCAAGAATTTCATCAATGTCCAAACTTTCAAGGTTCCTCTTGGCCTCTTCATCAGTCTTGTCTTCTTTGAACAATTCCTCTGCACCGAACCTCAAGATAGCAGAAAGTTCATTCTGCCGAGTGATGCAGCTTACATCAGAATAGTAAAACAGCATAAAAGGGAAATAGAGAGGGAACAAGAAAATACAGTATCTTTTTTTTTTACCTTCTCACAAGATTATTATATCCTGATAGAAGGTAAAAGGAACAAGCAAATGCATTTAACTTCTAAACTGAACAAAATTAATATGATAGACACTTCAATTTTCAGCATTTGATAAGCTGTACGAAAGCCAAAGGGCCTCTAGTTCAACTGGTTAGAGCGTCCCGACGGAACTCCTCAGGTCCTGGGTTCGACTCCTCGTGGGAGCGAATTTTAGGCTAGGGTTAAAAAAATCCCCTCGTCTGTCCCACACCAAAGCACAAGTCTAAGGACCGGCCTGTTCTCACAGGGCAACGGTGCCGCTGTGTAAGGGTGGGGCAGGGGTTCAAGAGTTTTCTGGGCCTGCGTGAGAAGGTCTTCTTAATGCAATGTCTGGGGGTGGTCATACCCTCGCAGGTCCAGTTTTTTGATAAGCTGTACAAAAATTTCTTTAAGCAACATGTTACAACTTGTTTGAACCAGAAGCAAAATTCAATGGCCACCCAATACAAAACTCGGTAATGAATCTTGTAAACCACCCAATACAAAACTTCTAGGGTAATTCATGCTGAAAAGTTAGCCTAAAACAAGGAAACAAGATAGTAAAAACCAAAACCTACCTTGTCAAATATGGAGCCACCCTTTTTGGTTTCTTTCTTCTCAAGCCTGCCCTCAGCATTTAGCTTCTGAATAACCAAGTGATCAAGAACCTGAAATAGGGAAAAAAATAGGTAAAAAGAACAGTTCAATAATCCTACTAAAGAATACATGAGCTATGCAGTTTGACAACCATCTTTTTCTTTGCGCGTTCCAAAATATCCTCTTCAACACTTTTGCATGTGACGAAGCGGTAGATATTAACAGTCTCCTGTTGGCCAATCCTATGTGCCCTACTCATGGCCTAGCAAGAAACGAGCCATATTAAGAAATATAGGAAAGATAAGTAAATCTTTACAAGTTAAACACACACACTCACTTCCAGGAGGGAGGGAGGGAGGGAGGAGGAGGGAGAGAGTGGGTGAGTGAGTGAGAGAGGAAAAACCTGCAGATCATTTTGCGGATTCCAATCTGAATCAAAAATTATCACTGTATCTGCAGTTGCAAGATTAATACCAAGTCCTCCGGCACGTGTGGATAAAAGAAAACAGAAGTCATCACTTCCAGGAGCATTAAAATGTTCCATGGCTTGATGACGAAGATCTGCTCTTGTACTACCATCAAGCCTCTGAAACTGAAATCCCCGAAGAGAGAGGTATTCTGCAAGGATGTCCAACATCTTAACCATCTGCAAGGAATCAAGAAGTAAACCACATGAGGCGCACATGCTTTAAAAAATATTTTGCTTCCCAATATATTAATGTTAGCACAATAAGAAAATAGTTATGTAATGTTTTAACTTGAAGCAAATCACGCCCAAGATTCTCTTAAAAGGAATCTACTCAATCACAAAGAGAACTGCCCAAGATTCTCTTAAAAGGAATCTACTCAATCACAAAGAGAACTACAGAAATAGAAAAGAATCAGTACGGCGAAATAAGTAGAAATTTTCTCCACAACGGCCGAGACGAATTTCATTACCATGAAGAAACGAAATTAGATTACAATGTTTAAGTTGGAGCCCACAGAGTTACCGAGAAAAATAAGCAAGTTCCTGAGCCTCTGAACATGAAGGGGTCATTCGGCTAGGCAAACACCAAACAAATTCATTGTTTTGGTTTCCAAACGCCTGCCATTTAGAAATAACTAAAGTTCATTCAAGCATTTTTATTTGGTTTCCAATTCTTGTCATTTTGAAACATTTTCCAACAAGTGTCCCTCTGAATGCCTCTTCGCCATTGTCATAAAATCATCGTATAGTGAAAAAATCTACCTTTTTACTGAAGAAAGTACATTGTTAAAATCAGTTTTATTTCAGTTTTCCAAAATTTCTTTTTGTTACTATATCATGATGTTGATATATTCTCGCAACCAGCTGCCCCTAACTTAAGTTTCTGGTTCTACCACTAGCAAAGTACATTGTTAAAATCAGTTTTATTTCAGTTTTCCAAAATTTCTTTTTGTTATTATATCATGATGTTGATATATTCTGGCAACCAGCTGCCCCTAACTTAAGTTTCTGGTTCTACCACTAGCAAAGTACATTGTTAAAATCAGTTTTATTTCAGTTTTCCAAAATTTCTTTTTGTTACTATATCATGATGTTGATATATTCTGGCAACCAGCTGCCCCTAACTTAAGTTTCTGGTTCTACCACTAGCAAAGCTCAAGGACTCCCAAAGGTGTATTCGGCAGGTTGACATCCAAGTAACACTCACTTTTTTGCTTTCTCTCTTAGGCACCCGTAGTGCTGGTTTGAACCAAATCAAACCGCACTGATGGGCCATTCAGAATTGATTTGGTTATATGTTCATACCTCTAGAAGTCTAGAATTATGCTCGTTTCATGGGGCCGCAGCAGAAAAAAAGGAAATCAAATGTTACCACTATCTAAAATTTGAATAACCACATCATGTGGTGAAAAACTGGTAGACACAAACCTGTGAGAATATAAGCACACGATGATTAGTCTCCCGCAGTCTCACCAATAGTTTGTCCAACAAGACAAGTTTCCCACTACTCATAACAATGCGTTCAACTTTATTCCGATCACCAATGCTATCTCCACCATAACCATGATCGGCACTTTCAAACAAGAATGGATGGTTGCAGCATTTCTTCAATTCAACAACAATGTTAAGAAGTGATACCTGCATATGCCATGATCAAGTCAGTCACATAAAACATGGTAGCAAGACAGTAATTTTTTGGAGAGCAGATTTGGCTATGCCTTAAGAATAATTGTTGCCAAACACACTAATTATTTGGAATTAGTAGATCAGAACATGAAGTTATAAACAATCAATCCTTGCCCACATGGGAAAGCAGATTTGGCTCACAACGGCCCAAGTGTTGCCTTGTGGCCTTGCCCATGCTCCAGTTTGATAGGTAATGCATGGCCAGGTGAGGAACTGCTTGAGCTAGCAATAGCAGGTGAGAAACTGCTTGAGCTAGCAATAGTAGGTGAGAAAGAATAGTAACATTGTTCCAATAAAGATAATCCTGGCAAGCACCACAGCATTTAGCAAGAAAAATGGTCCTAGACTAGCAGCAACAGCATATATTCATGTCTGGAGATACGGTTCAATTTGCTACATACTGAGACAACCAAATTACATTAAATTCCAAGATAGAACAGAGCGGTAGCTAACAAAAAATAACCAAATGTGCCCACCGAAATAACTAAAGCCACAGAGAATATAAAAACATAAGAACTTGCTTAAAAGAACAAGATGTAACAAAAACCTGATTCCCACGGACTCCTTTATTTAGATTCTGAAAATTCCGCTCTAAAATCCACTTGTAGTACCTAGTAAAAAAACCAAAAAAATTAGCCTCAATGTAAAATAAGGGCACGTTTGGCCGCTCCAAGGTCCATGCAGGGTTTGGACCTTGTAGGAAAAATAAAAGGTTTAAGAATGTGGGTTCCATCCAAACTAATAAGAAAACTTATCGAAAAAAAAGAGGTTCAAGAAAATTAGCATGGAGTACTCACTGTTTCTGAAGGGGTGACATCTCGACACGTAGAATCCTCTCAATTTTAGGAGGTAAAGACTTCTCAACATCTTTTATAACCCGCCGTAAAATATGAGGCCTCAATTCCTTATGCAAATTCGCAAGCTACAAGAAAACCGGCAAAAGAAGTTATGGGCTTCAATCAACGGAAAACCAACATATTATATGCTGATCAGCGAAGATAAAGCTTTTATTTGAAACACTACCTCAGTTTCGTTGAACGAACTCAAATTTTTGTATCTCTCAACAAAACTATCCTTGCTGTTGAATTTGACTGGATCAAGGAAATGAAGTAATGCCCTACAAAAAAAAATCTCAGAAACAAAGGAAAAATGAAGGATTAAAAAAGATTAACAGAACTGAATCAGCCCAGATGTAGCAACTGCGATCAGATTGCTGTTTTTTAAAATAATATAGCTCCACATAAAAGATGACATAACCGCATATAATATAAGTTAACTATTATAACAACAACAACAACATAGCCTTTCAGTCCCAAGCAAGTTAACTATTATAACTCCACATAAAAGATGTCGTACCAAAGCTCTTCCACACTGTTCTGCAAAGGTGTTCCAGTGATAAGCAGCTTGTTCTTAGTGCTGAATTCCTGTAGAAGCAATACAAAATTAGTCTAATCATAATCCCAGTAAAAGTTACATGATACAGAAGCTAAGAAATTGTTTCATACCAAAAGGGTCGTATACAGTGACGCTTCAGAATTCTTCAACCGGTGGGCTTCATCAACCATAAGATAGTTCCATTTGATCTTGGAAAGAACCGCTTTGTCCTTGAGAATCACCTCGTAGGTAGTTATCAATGTGTGGAATTTTACATGACGCCCACCCTTCTTGTCTGAAAAAAATTCATGCTGCTGGCACATCTGTGGCAAATAGCAAAAAGATACAACCAAGGTGAATAAAAATAAATTAGAAAGTGTATTAGTTAGAATTTTGTGCCTTATGATTCCTCAAGCCAACTAATTCATATTTTTAACTAAAAACAAATATAACACAAGCAAACAGAATGAGAAAGGAGGCAAGAAAAAAAACACAATTCCATACCCTAAAGAAAAGCAAAAAAAGCAAAATGCTACGTACATCAATATATAGAGTTTTTTAGCATAGATCCATGTTACAAAAAGGTTTCATTTCAATGACATGTGATGTTAGCATAACATAGATAGACTATAGTCCTGTTTTGAAGAAAGACAGGAAGCTCTGTGGGGGCTTTGGAAACTAAGAAATGTTATGTGTTTTCAAAACTTTGTCTGGAAGGAATATGAATATGGCGCTGCAAAAGATTGTTGTCATGGTGCAAAGTTGGAAACTGCTTTGCCCTCACCCTCACGACAAGCTCCAGTTGTTAAACTCCAAAGTTGGAAGAGCCAAAGAGGTTGGCGTCTATGCCAGCCAGGATTTCTGGCTGGACAAGGTATCAAGGCCTGAAGATAGCTTCATGTATGAGAACACAGGTGACTGGCGACCCCCAATGACATGGACTTACTACTTCATTTGAAGAGGCAGTCAAGTCAGGGAAGTGGCTCAATCTGGTGGTTTCTGGTCTTTGTGGAGCATAGGAAGTTCTGTGTAATTCTTGGTTGTTTTTGTGGTCGTCAGTCTTTTGGTTATGGTTGGGGAGGTGAATGGTGACAGTCCTTTTGGCTATTCAATTTCCCTCGGCTTATCATATTGGTTTCTCTAAACTTATCGAAATCATAAAACGTGGGCATGGAAGTAATACATACAGGTCCATCATAGAAAGTGATCTAGGTTAAAAGTCATGATATTGTTGAGTTGTCACAAAAAATATAAACCAGGTAAATTCCATAAGATATTATTCTATTGTATCAGCCTTTTACATTCCTAATATTTCTTTTTTACGAAGGCTTTTAATTTCTAACACTATGCAATTTACAAGCTGATATCTAAAGTTACTAGCCAGTTCAAAATATTCATACAGGAGAAGAAGTCTCTCTTACAGATGATATGAAATACTAGTGCTAACAGCGAATAAATTAATTCTCAGCAGTAACAATAATTGGTATTTTCAGGTAAAGTTTATATTTAGCAAAAATTAATAATATACGATTTTAGTCGATAATTCTTGTTGCCAACATTTGACAATGGCAGCTAGATCACATACAAAAAATAGATCGAGAACTGATTTGATAGTTTTATATACCTCTCTGCTGGCACGGTTGCCAACATAAATGACAACATTCATGTTGGGCAGCCACTTCCGAAATTCCTTTGCCCAGTTCGACAATGTTGACAGTGGCACAACTACAAGAAATGGACCATTGATTTCTTGAGCATTCTGCAACAGATATGTCAGATATTAATATTAAAAGACAATTTCATTCATCATAATGATGACAAGCAAATACAATGAGAAATAATTACATGAAGGAAGCCAAGCATGGAAACAGATTGGATAGTTTTTCCCAGACCCATTTCATCAGCAAGTATAACATTAGTATCGTTTCTCCATCTGTGTCACCAATCAAACAATCAGAAAACAAAGTATTTGTATTCTGCTGTGCATATATGTACATTCATATTGATCTTACGTACCCATTGACAAGAAAGTTTAGTCCTTCCAGCTGGTAATCACGAAGCTTGCCAGCTTTTAGCCATTCTGGCTGGTCATCAAGCCTCCTCAAACTAGCTGGAAATGTAGAGTTTGATTCAGTTAAACTCAACAATAGTGATCCACTGGTGCTAGAAAAAGTACATTGGATCCCGTAAAAACCCAAAGAAAAGGGTAAGCCAATGCAAATCCATATTCAACCTATGACCAAAAGAACATTGTAGATTTCCGAGGGATAAGGATCACTTAATCTGATAACATCACATCACAGTCATGGTAAATAGCATACTAATTGAAGACTTTATAACAAAGAACAAAGGTGAAAAACTACACAGAAGGAACAAAATAGCATAGAAGAGTTTTTAACTAGTAAGTCTTATGAATTAACTATTTTCTGGACCAATAGTAAGTACGGAATGTGTTACCTTTGCTTTTCTTTCGTTGGAAATCTACTGTTTTCCCCAGTATAGCTGAGGCAGCTTCACGAGCCTACCATTTAGTGTAAAGCCAGTCATGGTACAAAATTGCATGCTTAGGTACAATTACAGAAGCTTTTATAGGGTACTGAGTACCTTACCTTATATTCATCAATTGCATCTTGAGCAAAATCTATATCTGTATCTTTTTCCCTGAAACAGTGCACCAAAAACAAGGTCGGTGAGACTAATGCATACTAATTAAACAGTAAAGGCGCATTCCTATTTCCTACAACAAAGATATTAACATCCACAAGATAGAATATAAAATGTATGAAAGATCATCACACATAATCATACTCTGAATCAACAGAGGTAGAGATATTGTGTTTATGATCGAAGCTCATCCATGTGCAAAACAATAATCATAACCATAAAACTAGAACTGGATACCATGCCACAAAAATTACCAGGTAGATTCTGCATAAGGAAGTCCTTGCCATTTGACTAAATATTCGGGAACCAGATCATCTCCATCAGCTTTGACCCTATCAGCAAATATCCGTTCAACCTGAAGATTCAATGTTAGACAATATGCAAAGCGATGATGAACAGTGTATATCAACAGTCAACCTGACTATATTGTTTAATAAGATCCAGCTCCATCTCCTTGCCCACATCATGCACCTCAACCTGATATGAATATGTTGGCATAACCAGAGAAACATATCAAATTAATGCCAATATTTTGCCAAGTAAAGAAGCACTAATTAATAGCACTCCATAATCACTAATTAATAGCACGGAATATAAACCTAACATTGACTTAATTTTGAACATCATCAAAACAACTACTATGCAAAAAACAGGAACCTTCCATAACAGGAAGAGGCACAAACATTTCCTTTACATTTTGAAGTTTTACCATAGAGTTAGTATTTATACTCTGGATGCTAAGATACAAAAGGTGTCATGCTTCAATTCATGTTAAATTTGAAATGAAAGGTCTACTGGTTTACCTCTTCACGTGATAGTGCCCTCTTGTACCTCTGTTCCTCGGCAACCCTTTTCGTGTAATTTATTACCTTCTTGAATCCACTAACCTGTCATGTAGAGGTTATATGAATGAAAGCAGATTTAGAAAGAACAAAGACAAAGGATTAAGCAAACACACCTAAACATACAGATAACATAATCTATATGTACTCTACATAAGTACTTACATTTTGGAGTTCTGATAATGTCTTCCATTGACAATGCAGGTAAGACTGGCCTTTCCATTTTATATAGAACTCTAATTCATCCCACTGTTGATCGAAGTCCGATGTTAGGCTGACAACAGTAGGTTGAGCTGACTGGTGATTCCTTATTGCTTCTTCAGCTACACCCTTGGGTTGATGCCAAAGAACTTTTTCGATTGTTTCTCCATCTTCCTCTTCTGGCTCCTCCTTCATGAGCTAGATTACATTAAAACTTGTTGAGGTGGCCATAATATATATGGATTGATTTTTTACGCGATCAGAAGAAAGTAACTTAAATTAACACCGTAATAACGATGACTTAGACAACAAAATAGAGGAAAGTTTAGAAGACAGATATCTAGATTCTCTATTGTCAAAGCAGCAGCTTAAAAGTGAGAATCAGGAACCGAATGACAACATTAAGAATATAATACATATGCAACTCCAGCCTGATAATAAGCCATACATGACAAGAACTAGTTTGCCAGTTATCCATTATGATTCCTCAGTGACAAAATTGCTATTTCACTAATAGTTTGTATTGAGCTCACCTTTTGTTGTTTAGTTGACTTCTCCTCACTATCATCGCTTTCTTCGCTTTCAGCATATGAGACCTTTTTCACCGTCCTCCTCCTTCCAGAAGTTCGAAGCTCATTATGAGAATTGATTGGGGCAACGTCACTGCGGCCCACGGGTTTCTGATGCAACCTGTCAAATTTTTTCGATCTGTGTTTGAAATCAGAATCGCTGGGAACATCTGAGTCTTTTCCTGAAGAATATTCTTCATCACTGTGAGAAACCCCTCGTTTTCGTTGAGCTGGCATGGGCAACTTTCTTCCCTTGGAAGTTTTAGTTGCTACAATCTTAAGTCGTTTAGGTTGCCTCCGATTCTCCACAAAATCATCTTCATCATCTGAGAGTTCAAGGTCATCATCGCCATCGCCATCAGAATTCTCACTATCCATAAACTTATCCTGTGAGTTGAATGTTTCAGAGGGTAGATAATCAAGCAAAAATATCCAATAGCTCAAATACAAAAAACGAATAACATTAACTTGATAAATTTCCTTGAATGGGCCAATAGAAAACTCAGCAATCCAGAAGAAAACACAACATAGATGTAAAACCATTTTTATATATAAAAAAAATACAGCCTTAGTGGACAATTTATAGGCCGAAAAGCAGGGGGGGAGTTCATAATCTGTCCTCAGATGATCACAGTACAAATACATAAAGCACTCTAAAATGCTGCAGAACTGGTCACACGAGAATGGTCAAGTACATTAGAATGACACCAAAAGGTCCAAATAGAACTACTCCAGGACTCGGTTAGAAACAACTGCAGACTGCAGCTGATGCAGTTAAGATGGCCCACAGAAATCATGTTTAGCATATTTTATCACCTCGTTCAAGAATACCAAAGAGCCAAATCCATCCTAGGTTCTGACCATTCACATGAATTTTGCTTGCATAAGTTTATTCCATATACTATGAATATATTTCCTCTAGATTACCTATCTGATGCTAAGAGATAATTTGAGTTCTTGGGTCTATTACACCAACTGAAGAAACAGTCCATTTTACGTAAGTTGGAGTTCAACTAGGCACTATTTTTAATATCACCAGCTCAGGTTCATAAGTAATATATACGTAAACAACTTCATAACCGGGCAGCAGCATATAGATCTCGAACATAGTTGTAACAAACTTTCACTACACAAGCTAACCCAAATAATAAAAGGAGGATGTAGCTTAATATGTGGAAACTGTATCATGTTACAGTTATATGCCATTCCATGCAGAGTAATTAAGTAAATAGATGACCTTGTCAGTAGCCTTATCCGTTTCGCTGTCTGGCTCAAAATCCACGTCAGCGGGATCATCTTCTACAATATAAGAAGAAAAAATGCCAATCAACTTGGGTTGTAACACCTTGTATACAGACACAAATAAAGCAAAAACACATTTATTTTGTTAAGCACAAGACTCCATATTTCAATATACCATCTGCATCATTGCCATCGTCATTCTCATCATTATACTCGTCGTCGTCGTCGTCATCATAAGCATTGTACTTTGACGTCTTCTTCATTTGTCGTGAGCCAGACTTTGCTGCTCCACCAGAAGTGGAACAGCTTGATTGCTTCGTCCCGCCGCGATGCAACGATTCAATCTGCTCCTCTCCGTCCTGCTCGTAATAGTCATCGGAGAGCATTTCCTCAGCAGGCACCTCACCATTTGCTCTGTTCAGTTCATCATCCTCTCCGCTACCATCCATGTCATCATGCGAGCTAGCAGCATCCATTCCCCTACCACTATTCGATGGAACTTCTCCGGCCGTCTGTTTGGACCTGGAATCCTTGAGAAAATTTGTGCCCCATGGACCACCAGACGATCTGCCTCCTCTCTGGGCATGCTGCCCTGATGCGTTCTCAGAAGAGTACAAACCTGACTGGCCAGCCTCATATTGCTCTGCTTCACTGTGGTAGGCATCCTCTGCTTTCTCATTTAAGTTCCACTGCCTAGAGTTTTGGTCAACATTCCCATCCCGGACTGACTCATAGATGCCCTCATCATCGGCCTTTTCATTCAAGTTGTACCCTCCTGAATCGGCCTTGCTCCCGGAGTTGCTGAAGAATGCCATCACAGATTATGGCATTACATGGAATACCTCTCACAGGCTCAGTATCACTCCTGCAGTTCATGAAACGAAGTCAATTTAGAACGTGGCTAGTGATCAATATGCCGTGCCCTAAACAGGGCAATCCAACTAGAATCTAATCAATTTCTAGTGCTTTCTGTTAGGGGTTGATCATTTGAATGCCAAATGGATTAAAATTTTCAGGTGAGGGACGTGACGAGACCCCAGCTCTCATCAAAATCGAGCAGCAGAAGCAGAGATACACCCGTGAGCAGCCTCAAGCGCGCAGAATCCAAACTGTATTCCGAAACCCTAAATCCCCAACGATTGACGCGCGGCCGAGCAGATCGGCGCGTGCGGCGGCCAGATCGAGCTGCCGCCGGCGCGGATCGGGCGGGCGGCGCTCGAACCGACGCCACATCACGCGCGCCCATGCCTCAGAACCAACCACTGCCCACAAAAACCCGCGAGGTGGCAAGGGGACGCACCTCGTGCCACGGCCGACGAGAGGAGCAGGAGGAGGCGGCGGGCGGGGGCGGAGGGCGGGCGACGGGCGCTCAGTCCTCGCGACAGAGACGAATGCTCGGACAGGCACGCGGCGGGTTTTCTGGCTCGCCGCGGGGCACCTATTGGTCTGCGCGATCGCCGTCGCCGGCGGCCGCGGGGGCGGGCGGCGGGAGGGGAGCGGGGGAGGGGCGCAACGCCCGTGCGATTTATTCAAAAAGGACCGGGCGAATTTCCGCGATTTTTTGCGGTATTTTCCGCGATTTTTCGCCTAGTATTCGGATCCGAGGCGGGGCAGGAGGGGGGATGGACGGCGGCGATCGCCGAAGACGGGCTCCCGGCGGGGCGGGGCGGGGCAGCGCGGCGGCGGCGGCGGCGGCGCGCGCAAGAGAGAGGGGGGGTGGTTATCTATCACAAGGGGGTAAGGGCGATTAGGAAGGGCAGATAAGTTTTTCCCCTCTCTGCCTGTCCTCTCTCTCTCTCTCCGGCTCTCGCCTTTTCGCTCGTGTATTTGTCTCGGTCGCGTTGGGGGCTTGTTGTGGCAGAGTATTTCGGGGCTCGCTCGTCTCTGGACGCCTCTGAATTCGCTGGTGGGGCCAACCAGTAAGCGACGCGTAGAGGCGGGGTTGGGGGTGCAGTGCAGGCCGCCTCGGGGGCGCCGCGTCACCGGTGTTTTCTCCGAATGGCGTGTGGGGTCGGGATCGGGGTGGGGGTGGCGTGTCAGTGACTGTGAGCTTCGTGGGTGCCGCGCCGTGCGTTGGTGTGCCTGGCGGCGTTCGTAATTTGTGGAGGGCTGTGGTTCAAGCGGACGGTTCACGGCTCCACGATTTCCACTCGGAGAGAGAGGGGGCCCTATTGCCGGGTTTGGCGCGCCGATGTGGCGATGTGGCGAGGGCCTGGCCCATCTACGTTTTCTCTCCGATGGCAGGTCCATCTTATCTACGGAGTATGCTGCTCTAGTGCATGCTACCATTTCTGGTTCCAATGGAACACCGTCGACGTCGAGTGCTGATGTATAAAAAAAGTTTCTAGAATTTTCATTGCATTAAATTTCAATTTGAGGTTATTCCATGTGAAATATAATTTACAGAGGCAAAAACAATGTGTATGGACCATACGTAGACCCCTGTCAGACGAGTACACAATGAAAAATTCATAAAAATTTCATGGGATGCGTGTTTGATTTTTGATTTCATCGCTGGCTCACCCCTCACATGTTACTATTACCGAGCGGCGAGAATCCCAAACGTCTGAGCCAGCCTACCAATTTGTTCGTTTGGTTTGTGTTGCCCTACCAAGCCGTAATCCCTTGGAGCTCGTTTGGTTTGCTTGCTTGCACGTCTTAGAGCTCGTGCTGGCAAGATTCACCTCGCCATCCTGGGAGAGCTAGAATAGCTCACTTAGCGAGCTTTTCGTGGCTCACGCCTAGGAGGGCGAGGCAAGGCTAGAGGAGGTACCACTAACAACCAAATGCACCCTAAATAATCTAACATGATATAGTATAAATAAATAAAGAGGTGATAAAAGTTTTATAGAAAAAATAGTTTTATGGAGGTGAAACTTATTTACACTGTTTTCAACACATGAGAGCATTGGAAACTGAGACATAAAAGAGACTAGCCTAAGAGCATCTCCGAAAATCTTTTTAAACGCACTCTCTAAATCATCACTTGGTGAGCCATTTGAATAAGACTCTTCACCTCTTCTACCGTCCAACAGATTTTTATACCTTGTAAGCACTCTAGAGAGCGGATTTCACTCACCATCTTTGACAAGAGAGAAATCTGGATGGATGATGACAATAATATTTAGAGATCCAATTAAAGAACATGTTGGAATGTATTTTTTTACTAAAATCTTAATTCCTATCAATAAAGAAGGATATAGAGAGACCCTTGAAGTTGCTATAGGGTGAGAATAAAATAGTATCCCTAATAGTCCCACCTCTTATGTCCAATGACTCTCTGTCCGCTTACCTCCGTGCCTCCGCCCAAGAGCGGATCTAGAATTTTCGTCCATTTGAAGTCACTAAGGACACCTGCAATAGATGACTCATAAGCTAACTCTTGGAATTTTTCTATATTTTAATAAAGGGAGAGAAAAGCTAGCTCTTGATCAAGAAGCTAGGCTCGTACACACATTCCAAGAACATGTGAGAGTGTCATGTGGGCATAATCATACTATGAAGCTAAAAACTAACACTATTAGAGAGGTTAACTTAGAGCTAGTAACTGACTCTTACTGTTGCGGGTGCCCTAAGTTATAATCGTACCAAACCTTTATGATCACCTACTCTAATATGTTGATATTATAGTGGCACTTGTACAAAGTCATTGATGTCACGTGATATCAATGTTTATAATGTGGATCTGACCCTGCCTTTGCCTGTTGCTCCTTCGAGGCCATCACCTTCTAGGCTTCTATCGCCCCTCCCTAAGCGCCACCATCTCTCTTTGTCTGGCCCCTCATCCCTCCTTGCCCGAACCCCTCTTCCTCGGCCATCCAGAGCCGTGCATAGGGAGGGAAGCTCTTGTTCAAAGGACGACCACGGTGTGAGGCACATGGAGGGCGGGCGCAGCGGTCTCATGTGGCCGAGTTGACGCCCAGGACGGTGAGGACCTCATGGGGCGGTGTCGGGGACCAATACTATGGTACCCAAAGAGGGCGGGCTCCGCCTTGCCCGATGACTTAGGGCTGGCTCCGCCTCACCCGACGTTTGAGGGCGGGCTCCACCTCGCCCGACGTTTGAGGGAGGGCTCCACCTCGCCCGGCCTCCGGGGAAGACTCCGCCTCGCCCGATGTCCGAGGGGGGGCTCCGCCTCGCCCGATGTCTGAGGGCTGGCTCTTTGTGCTCCGCCTCGCCCGACCTCTGGGGAAGACTCTGCCTCGCTCGACCCCTAGGCCGGGGGATCCGTCTCGCCCGATGGAGACCCATACCGTCGCCAACCACTCTAGGTCCCAGTGAATGGGCCTGGGTCAAAGCTCTAACACCAGGGAGGTAATCGGCATGCCTCGATATAACCTATGGTTGTGACGGGTCATACCTGAGGATTCACATCATCGAACAACGACGGTCGTCTGCATCGCATTCGCCTAACCTCGTCTGAACACTGACAAGTGCGTTAGTTCACCACGATGTCCGTCAGGACGGAGTGGAGCACCATGACCGGGAGACGACGCCTGCGCATGGCCCCAGTGATGGATAGGGCCGTGACGTGGAGCTGTCCCTATTGACGTCTACAGGGGTGACGGGACCCGCATGAAGGAAAAGAAGGATCCGACGACCCTAAAGGACTTCTTCTCTCTCTCGTTCTCCTCTCTTCCTCCATGGTGACCCATGCTTTCCCTTGGCCTATAAAAGGAAAAGCAGGGCGCCCCATTAAGGGGATCAGATCATCGGATCATTGGACGATCGACTCATCTGATCATCTGACCAACGAACCCATCGAACCTCGAACACATAGCCAAGCGGCGCCTGAGCAGGACAACACATGTCTCCATCCCCCGCGAACGACGAGTTCGTGGGGATGACCGAATATGTCATGGAGTCTTTCCACGACCTCCTCGTAAGTGAGTTGGAGTCACCATCCGGCTCTGACTCCAGCAGAGGGAGCCATCACCCCTCTTGTGAGTGTTTCATGGCAGGTACCCCTGAGGGACATGTCGAAAGCATCCACGAAGAGGAGGCTACCCAGACAAACGACCTCGACGATGAGGTAAGGGGGGACACAAGGGCCCCACCCCGCCTGTGGGTGGAACAGCTGAAGGCCCAGCATCACGAGCTCGAGAAAGCACGACTCCAGCTCGAGCAGGAGCGCGCGGAGCTCGATCGAGAGATCGAAGACGGTGGGCGCGTGCGCGCCGTGGCCCGTGAAGTGAACCGAAGGATCATTGAGGACGATGAAGCCCTCCCACACTTCACCCGCGTGAGCCAGAACATCGCTGCTACGGTGGCCTTGCTCTGTGGGCTTTCGGAGGCTACGACGCCCGATGAGCGTCGGGCCCATCGCGAGATTTGCACGCTACTCGAGCGTGTGGCTGCGCAGCAGGCCGAGAGCTCACTGTCTCGGCGACACGAGCTCCACGCCAGCCAGTGCACGCCCTCAGAGCAACCCGACAAGGACGCATCAGTCCACCAGGCGCCGCAAGGCGGCAGGCCACGCATCACGGTTCCAGTGCATGAGCGTCTCGGATGAGACCGTGACGCGTGCGACACCCTCGATGCCTGTAGGCATACCCACGGTGATGTGGGGGAGGGGACCAGCCATGGCTACCACCCTCGATGGGGTGGACGCTATGACAATGGCGAGGATCAAAGCTCGAGCCCCAACCTGTCGGGACCTCAGGCCTTCGGCCGACACATCCTCAACGCCGCCTTCCCGCCAAGGTACCGACCACCCACCAACATACCGAATACTGTGGGGAAACGAACCCCAGACTGTGGCTCGAGGATTATCGACTTGTTTGCCAAGCCAATGGGGCAGATAATGATGACTTCA